AAGGAAGGAAGGAAGGAAGGAAGGAAGGAAAAAAAAGAGTATGTTCTTGCATCTGTGCTTTGGTAAACTGGAGAAAGCTTAGACTTACTGAACTATCAGTTGGTGGCTAGGTAGTAGCGTTGAGCACATCATAGACCAAAGGTGGACACTATGAGGACTTGCCACTCAGTGTGGACCCTGGACTGTAGCATCCACAGTATGGAAAGCTGATGAAATGTAGAATCTCAGGTCCTTATCCCAGACCCACTGAGTCAGAATTTCTATTTTTAATAAGATCACCATGCACATTAAGATTTAAGAAGTACTGCTCTGTGGGGTAGTTCCCCTGAACATCCATTTGCTAAATGTGTGTGTGTGTGTGTGTGTGTGTGTGTGTGTGTGTGTGTGTGTGTATATATATATATATAAATATAAATATATATATGTATATTCTATTTCCCAAACTGAGCACAGCTATTACCCTGGGATATCAGGCTATTCCTCTCATAATCCCAAGTGTGAAGGATTGAACCCAGAGCCTCATGCATTTTAGGCTCACCAGTGAGCTACTCCTTAAACTCAATTCTGCTTTTATTTCCTTTTTTTTTGTTGCTTGTTTTTTTAATTTTTTTCCGGTCTTGGTGCTTGAACTCTGGGCCTGGGCACTGGCCCTTAGCTCTTCAGCTCAAGGCCAGCACTCTACCACTTGAGCCTCTTCTAGCTTTTTCTGTTTATGTGATGCTGAGGAATTGAACCCAGGGTCTCATGCATGCGAGGCAAACACTCTACCACTGAGCCACCTTTCCAGCCCTCAATTCTGCTTTTTATTCAAGCATTAGCAGATACTCCAGGATGAGCCACAGGACAATCCTCTGACTGTGATGTTTCAGATGGAGAACAAGGCTTTTTGTCCTTAAAGGGGTCATGCAACATGGCTGTGTAGCCCATGAGCAGAGATTCTGCTCTAGAATCTGTGTCAGGACGGTAGGGTGATGGGAGGGTCAGGCAGAGAGGTATCATCTAGGCCACATTTGAGGTTTGAATGAAACAGCTCTATTTGGAATTCCCTAGGATGTCAATGCAGAATAGTTCTGTCTAGCTGGTCATTGCTTTGTTTCAGCATTTAGATAGATACCTTGACATGCAGGTGAGCCTTCGGTGTGTCTTTGGAAGTCTGAAGAGGAGAATCCTCAACCTTGCTGAGCTCACCATAGTGTTTCTTCTATAACACAGACATTGCAAAGACAGCAGTACCCAGTGAGGTTTCCAGCCCAGCTCAGGCCCTGCCACCCCAGTATCAAAGCAGCGCTCTCCGGCATGGGGTACATAACACAGTGCCTTCACCAGGTGAGGCCTTTTCCAACTCTGTGTGGGAACATGTGACAAGTTGATGTATAGGGGCTGCGTACCTATGAGAAAGGAGCCCACAAGCTGGCTCATGTGCTGCTTTACCTGCAACCTCTTATCCAGTCCTTCTTCTTGTAACAGAAGCCCATAAGCCTATAGAAGCTTTTTCCCTTTCCTCTCCCATCTCTCAGTCTTTTGCAGAGAAACAAGTTTCTGTATATGTGGGCTGCTGGATGATTAGGATAAACAGTAAAACTGAATAGTCACACTGGTGGTAGAAAGAGGGACTACAGGAGGTCAGAGGTCTGGTTCACCTGTCCTTGAATCAAGGACAAGGTATCTTCAGGGAAGGAAGGACCTGACACCTATCAAGACTTAGTACGGTATTTTCACAATTAAAAAAACTTATTGATATTAAAAAAAAAGACTTAGTGCCTGAGAGAGGCCTACCTCCTCAGAAATCTAACAGCCATTTAAATAGAATAAGAAAGCAGTAGGAACTAATGCCTTAGACTGTTCTTCCCACCCCATCATCCATCCACTCTCAGTTGCTAGCAAGGTCATCCCATATCAGGGCTAACTACCTGTATTCTCACCTTTCTGATCGCTTCCAGATACCCCAGCTTCATCGCTCCCTGCCCATAGCCCAAGACTAAGACCTAGAACTTTTGTTCGCAGATTGTACCTTGGGGGACGCCCAGAACGGAGAACAGCTGAGGAGAAACTGTACCATCTACCGGCCCTGGTTCTCCCCTTACAGCTACTTTGTATGCACAGACAGAGAAAGCCACCTAGAGGCCTATAGCTTCCCAGAGATGGAAAGGGATGAAGGAAGAGGCGACAACTGCCTTCTGGAAGACATGACTGAGAGTATCTGCTCATCCTCTTCCTCCCCAGAGAACACATACTCTCGAGAGGCAACCAAGAAATGCAGGCATGGCCCAGACTCCATGGATTATATCACATCCCAGGACATTATAACAGCCTCCAAATGGCACCAGGCTCAGCAGAATGGCTACAAGTGCGCAGCCTGCTGCCGCATGTACCCCACCTTGCATTCCCTCAAGAGCCACATCAAGGGGGGCTTTAAGGAAGGTTTCAGTTGCAAGGTGTACTACCGCAAGCTCAAAACCCTCTGGGGCAAGGAGCAGAAGGCCTGGCAAGGGGATAGGCTCTCTGCAGGCAGCTCCCAGGCCTTTAAGTAGTTCTGCTGGACACCTGAAATAGGGGATGAAGCCTGTTTATGTCTCTAGAGTGATGCCAATAAATCAGTTAGTCACAGCCTCCTGTCAAGTTTGAGGTCACCCTGCACCATTGGCTGTCCTTTCTGCATCCAGTGAGTTCTCATCACCTTCATCTAGTGGTTGCCTAGCAACACTATGGCCACCCTCCCTCCCTCCCTCTCTCCCTCCCTCCCTCCTTCCTTTTTTCTCTCTTTTTCTAAAATAAAAACAATACCCAAAGTTTGAGAATATCCTCTAAGACAGTGATTCACAAAGTGAGGTGTTCAGACCAGCAGAATTGGCATTCTAGAGGAACTGGTTAGACTTGACCTTCTCAGGCCCCACTCAGTCCTACTCAGACTCTGGAGTGGAAGCCTGACCAGTTGTGCTAAACCAGCCCTCAAGGTGACCCTGAAGCAGCCCCATATTGGGGACAAAGAGTTATTTCCAGGAGGAAGAATCCCTAAATGCTAATGTATGAGAAGGAGAATACAGACAACATAATATCCCTGAGCAAAATGAAAGAAAAAGATGGGGAGGGTGGGCCCTGCCCAGTGTATATAGCATCATCACTTCTGCTGAAGCAGAAAAAGATCACTTCTGATCCAGGGGACATCTTTTCATGGCTGTTTTGTCCCGCTACCATGAAATGTGCCTAGTGGACAGCCTGACCCTTATTCCATTTCTGCACAAACCTTGCTGCCAACACAACCCTTAAGGAACTATCATCAGATGCTGCCTTTTTTGTCCATTATGTGGGCTAAAAAAAAGAAAAGCTGGTCCTAATTTAGGTCTGATTTCCCTCTGGCTTCAGCTCTATGATGGTTGTGGGCCCTTTCACTGCTGTTAGGGCATTTCCTATCAAGGACCTGGCACCAACACTCCCTTAGTCTTTGCCTCCCTGATAAGTGGGCCTATGAGTGGGGCTGGAGGGTCTTTATCTTTTCAGTGGGTACACAGTAACCCTTTCTGGAGCAAAATTTCACTTGTCATTGGGCTGCTGAAATCATATGTAGCTCTTTCATTCTCTCCAGAGTCAGACAGAAGCTGGGCTCAAATCCCTGTCCCTCATGTGCTATAAGACTAATGTAAGAACACTCCTAGTCTGTTTCTTACCCATTCTGTTTTCCCACATATAGCTAGAGTCCAAGTCTCATTATTGTCAGACTCAGGAGCTGGGACATGTAGGTTATAACCTGTCTAGGCTGAGACTAGGTGGTCTCTAGGCAACCATGACATCATTTCTAGGAGTCCATCCCCTGAGGGAGTAAATGAATGACTGGGCATCTTTTTAGTCCTCATTCTGAACCAGTGTTTCTTTACCAGAAAAGCTACCTGGACCCTGGCAGGCATCTCTTCATTGCAGGCATCAAGCATTTACAAAATGATTCCCAATTGAGACAAGTGGTATAATTTGACCCTACAAAGCTGGTCTGCAGAAGTGAAGGTGCCACTTCTCTCCCTCTTCCAGGGAGCATGTATATCCTTTCTAAACCATGTCACAGAGCTGATATTGCCCAGGTTGGGAAGCCGGTAAAGGAAAGAGGAGAGAAGAAGCAGGTAAAATAGAGGAAGCAAGAAAAGACTATGGAAAGGCATTTAGAAATAAGAAAGGTTTTTATTTAGCAAAAGCCAGTAGGCAAGTGACAACATCCAGGGAGTAAGTGCACTTACATTAACAGAATCTTGTCCCAGAGAGTTGATCCAACAGTTAAAGACACACAGTTTTAGGAGGAGAGGACTAGGGGGCAGGAGGAAGTAGGCAAGCAAAGAGTAAATAAAGGGATGCAACTCCTAAACAAAGCAGCTGAGAAAAGGGAGGCTTTGAAGAGGTTTTACAGATAACATCGAGACAAGCAGGAATATAGGAAATATAATTTTCAGTCCCCATATGCAGTCCATTCTGCAGAGAAATTCTTTCCTGACTCTGCACTCCTGAGGCCTTGTATGCCCAAGAGTCTGCTGGCACCTGGAGCAGGCTGAGGGGAAGGTACCAACGAGGTCGGCACCCCTCGTGTCCACATGTCCTTCATATAGGGCCGAGTAGTAGGATAGAAGAGAGGAAGGCAGAGTTGAGTTAGCAGAGCAGGAAGCAAGGAGGAAGGATAGAGAGGCACTGCTGAGAAGTCAGGTCTGCAACATTCTCTTTCTTGCTCGGTGGCTCCAATGAAGGGTAGGTATTTGGTGACCTTGCAAGGCCCCTAAATCTGTTCTTTGTCTCATCACTATGCACCAAGTCATACAGATTTGGGTACATTGGGAGGGTAGGGCAACCCATGAGTGATATTCCAGGGAAGGATTGAGTCAGGTAAAAGGTAGAGTTGAGGAAGGCAAATACCAACAGTCTTGAATAGGTACCAAATCATCATCACATAACTGGGTCCCCAGTCTCTCTATTTCCTTAATATCACCTCTATTTCTTTCTTTTCAACTTTTTCAAGACTCTTTTAGAAATTATCTTTCCTACCCACTCCCCCATCCTAACCTACTTTTCCATCTACAACCCATATACCTAATCCACTGACCTCTGGCTTTGTCCTTAGCTCTTGCTTGTAGGAAGTGGCCTTGAGAAATCATATTTTCTACTGATAATCAAACTCCTACTGATAATATTTCTAATTGATAATCTTAAAAGTCTCAGGCTCAGGGAGCCCTGGGCTAGGATAATGTAAACTAGCTAATGGGCTAGTAGGGCCAGCTAATCCAGATTCCTTGTAGCTGCTCCTTTGGTTTCATTCCCTGTGTATCTGGACCTACTTCCAATAGTTAATTAGCACATGTAACAAACAGAACCGTGCATCTCCAATGAATAACATGTAAGAAAAATATACAAATCTATTATTCACTCAAACACTCTGAAGATCCCCTTTCTCTTCTCTCACTTCTCACAAGCCAACAAACATGCCGAAACCTTCTCCTATACACACACACACACACACACACACACACACCTTATTTCACTGACACCCTGATAAATCAGGGAGGGCAAATATAAATCTGCATTTGTTTCTTTAACTTGGACTTATGGTCTAGAAGAAACCCAACTGTGGCTACAAGAAAAGGCTGTGATGGCATTTATATAAATTCCATACCAAAGCTGGGTTTAAAGTCCATTTTGGACAACTGTATCCATATCAGTTGGCCTTCTAATAATACTGCAGTCTGGTCTATAGCTTGTTGTCCAGCATAAAGACATCTTCTCTCAAAACATATGACTCACACATGTCTCAGCTTTCTCTGAGGCATCTGAGAATCTGTTAACCACTAAAGGCCTTCAGTCTGTTACTAAAGGCCAAGTCAGTCTGTTACTGGACAGAGATACATCTAGGCAGGGCCTAGATGATAGAAGTTGCACTTTTTACAGGTGTTCAGGGCATGAGCACCCAGAGATGGGCCAGGGTGGCATGGCTGTGGTCCCTGATCTCAGTGGCAGTGATTCTAAAAAGTGGATAAAAGTAATCTCAGCTACCAGCTTGCATCAGTGTTTTCCCCCCCATCTATCCATCCATCTATCCATCCTTTTTTTTTTTCAGTAAAAACTGACCAATCTGCCCAGTGAAGGAAACAAGTTGAGAAGTAAGGCAGGGGACTCTGGGGCTCTGAGGCTTCCACAGATTCAAAGTGCTGCAGAAGCTTCAGGTGGCCCAGCTCTCCCCCTGAGGCAGGACACAGGAACCGAGGGCACTTCACAGTCTCCATTTATAGGAGCTGAGCTGCAGGCAGGAGGCAGGCAGGCAGGGCTTCTAAGCTGAAGAGCTAGACCTACATGACTTGGAACAGCAAAAGGCCTTTCTTTCTCTCACTCTCTTTTTCAGCTCCCTTAGAAACAACATCCAGTGTTCAGCAAGGGGGAAAAATGGGCCCAATTTCTTCTAATAGCTTCCATACTCATATCATTTGAAACAGCCTGGCTCTTGTAGCACAGAGCTCATTCAGCTTCTACAATTTCAGCCAGGGCCTGGAGAAGGAATTCTCTCATAGGGTTAGGGGAGGGTTAGGCAACTCATAGCATCCTGATATTCAAAACAAAGTACCTGAGAAGGTACCAATGGCTTCCCTTTATGATCTGGACCAGGGAGAAAGAAAGAGGGAGGAGGGCACATTAGGGCATCATATGACAGAGAAGAGGGTCCTGACAGTGCAGCAGGTCTTCCAGAAGCCTGTGGTTCTGATGAGGGACCTTCTCCCAAAGCCATGGGCTCTGGAAGACACTGCTTCCATCACCCTGCACCACAAGCAGAAAGTAGGTATTTATTTAATTCTGAGAATCCAATTTTGTTTCCTATTGGTCCTCTAAAGTGACATTCTGGTCTTATTATCAAGCCTTACCCTCTCCGGGGTCGTAGGGTGCTCTCAACTTAGGAAGCTGCTAGATTCGGCCCCTCCACACCACCTCTGCCACCTCCTCACCCTGGCACCTACACAGCGATCTCATCATCCAGGCTGTCGCCCAGCTCCTGTCTCTGCAGGACATGGAGCAGGCGTGGCAGCTCTTCTTGGGACCACGAGTCCCGCTCCTCGCTCTCGTCCGTGTTAGACTCATACTCAGAAGCAATGCCCGACTCCCGGAATTTGATGAGCTCCAGGCTGCCCAGGAGGGGCTCACCTTGGGCCAGGGGTGGTATGTCCTCAGGTGGGAGGAAGCGGAAGCACTCCAGCTTCACCAAGCAGTCACGCCTACCTAAGGGGCTGCCCACTGGGTGGGCAAAGTCAGCCAAGCCCGAGCCCGGTGGTGGTGAGTGCAGATCCTCTGGCTTAGGGGTCGTGGGGTCACATAGCACAGGCAGGGCTCCAGAACGGAAGGTGATCTCCAGCAAGCTGTCCTGGGATCCCACTGCAGAGACAAAGGGTAGGAGTGGGGAGAAAGGGATGCCATGAGGTCAGGTTCTAAAGAACTTGTCTAATCCCTATGGTTTAGTATCTTTAGTAACTTGCAGATTGGCTTTAGTTAGGACAGAGCAGGGTCTCAGCATTCAGTCTGGATAATCTCAGAATGGACTGTCCAAAGAAGTGAAGCACAGTAGCTTCCAGCCCATACTCTGAGCTTCTTTAAAATGTAGTTTCTCAGCCCTGCCCCACACTTACTGACTTGAATGTCTGTGGGCTAGATCATGGGATAGCTCATGGCATAGTTAAGAAAACTACTGGTAGAGTTGTGAAAATATGAATTTTGTAATTAGACCTCAGTATGAATCTTGGTCCCATCCCCTGCCAATCCTGTGCCCTAGAACTAGTGACTTAACCACCCTGACTGATTCTGCATCTGTAAGATGGGTGTAACAACATCTAACACTCAAGGTACTAAATGAGATCTCAGATAGATAGATAGATAGATAGATAGACAGACAGACAGATAGAGACAGACAGACAGATAGATAGATAGATAGATAGATAGATAGATAGATAGATAGATAGATAGATAGATAGATAGATAGATAGATCACAGTTTCAGCACAATAGATGATCAATTGGGTATGTGTTAGTCCCTAGGCAGCACAGACTGTCAGCAGGTGAACAATCCAGGGGTAAGTGCAAGTTGAAGGCCCGGAGATGTGCCTCCTACTACTTTCCAATCCAGGTTGGAGGTGGCTGGGCATACAGGCAGCATCTCAGCCCAGAGGCAAGTAACCTGTGCCACCGACCAGCAGAGCTATTAGCCACAGTTACTATACTGCCTTATCTAAATGGAACTTTTACCAGCTTCTTCTATGCAATAGCGTTGTGAAATATATAGTACAGAGAGACAACTATCAAACTGTTAGAGCTTTTCTGCAGAGCTCACAAAGATCATAGTACCCAGAAGGTGCTCAGCAGGTCCCTTCAAATAGAGACTTGGATAAGCATGTGTCTTTGACTCCCAGGTACATTTAAGGCCAAGTGTGTGTGTGTGTGTGTGTGTGTGTGTGTGTGTGTGTTTGTGTTAAGCATGTGTCTTTGACTCCCAGGTACATTTAAGGCCAAGTGTGTGTGTGTGTGTGTGTGTGTGTGTGTGTGTGTGTGTGTGTGTGTGTGTTAGAAGATAGCCAAGGTATGGTCTCTTCTAAAATTTTATAACTCATGAGGTTTATAGACAATATAAATGAAAGCTGATTTTTCTTCTTCTACTGGAATACAAAGGCAAGGTCAGGATTCCAATAAACTATCCTCATAGCTGCAAGGAAATAATGTGTTCTCCAGAACTTCTACCCAGGGAGGGAGGCTGGGCATGGAACTGGCTTACTGGAGTTCTGTCCTGACAGCTTCAGCTCCAGCTCCTGGACCTGTTTTACTAGCAGAGAGATGTGCTGTAGCATGTCCTTGTTCTGCAGTAGGAGCTGGTGCACACGAGCCTGGGCCTCCAGCCGTGCCGCAGCCTCAGCAGCCAACTGATCCTTCAGCAAGTGGACCTGCAGAGAAGAGGAGGAGGTAGGGGAGACAGACAGGAGATGGGACAAAGAGAAGAATGCAAATGAGATTTGCCAGTAGATGGCATCAAGTCTCTGCTCATTGAGCTCAAGACCAACAAGCTTGTCACAGAAATTTGGACACCTGGTCTTGTAATTCTGAAGAAGGAGCCATAAGAAGTTGGGTCACTGGCTCTATAGATCTCTCTGTATCCCTCAAGGGAGGACCAATGTGCAGCACTCAGGTCCCAGGTATAAAAGGTAGAAAAGATCACCCCCTCCCCCGACACAATCCCCCACTGAACAAACTCTTTCAACTCCAACACAGCACTTCTAGAGTGAGAATAATCACAATCACAATAACCCCTCCATGTCATCTTTCTACCTTGTATAGAAATGAAAGAAATAGGAAGTACTACTGCATTTCTAAATCAGTGAGCTAGTTGTGGCTGAAGCCTGACTTCACATGTCTGGGATGCCAATCTTATTCTTAATGGAGGCAATTAGGACTGTGATTTCTTCCTAGAGGGGATCAAACAGCTGCTGAGTGACTTAAAATAGCACTCTTCTGACACCCCAAAAGGGCTGAGGTGGACATTTACAATAAGCATTTAATCAATTCACAATCTACTCACAGTAGAACAGCCAGTAATGGCACATTCACTGGGCCTGTCAACTGTGGCATTTGCACATATGCCTTTGCTGTATAATCCTTGTGTGGAGACAGAACTCAGAGGGGGTAAATAGGGAAAATATATCCAGTCTTTGGCATGAAGAAACTGAGTCACAAGGCTAATGTCCACCCATAGATGATACTTGCGCTAGGAAGGGGATAAAGAATCTCTGAGGACAACTTTATCAGAAGCTTCTCCTGGCAAAAGGGACTGAATTTGGTGAGTTGGACCAAAAACATGGTATAAACAAAGAATCAAGTTAGATGGGATATAGATGGAAAGGGAGGAAAAAGCATTCACTAATTCTCTATTTCAGATGAAAGTGCTCTGAGCAACAGTGTGCTCCTGAGAATTTTTGTCAGGGAGTAAAGACCATTACTACCTCACTAAGGCTCACCAAAGGATCTTGCCTTCTTCCCCATATCTGACCCTTCCTGGAGCCAGGAGCCAATACCAAGAAAATTGTACTCTTGGGCATAGTGGCTGCTTCTCTTTTTGCCCAGATTTAAAGACTTGGCCTTGCAGTTGGCTCTGATTTAAATTGAGTAGAGCCACTAATGAGATTAGCTGCCTCTTTCCATTAGTGGCTCCCCAATGCTAGACTCATCCTTCCCCAAGGAAGGTGTTGCCTAAGGAATTTAAATCTAATCTCTCATGAAGCATTGCTAAGGGAAGAACTGATATTCTGGTTAAGACATCAGCCTCATTTAGTATTTCATACAAACAGGAAAAATCTGGAAAGGAATGAGTACAGGGAAAGAACTATCAATAACATTTTAATCTGGATCAGATGATGGGTGGCTATTAAACCTTTGTCTTCCTTAGAAACTAGGACATGGAGAAGTTTTACCCAGAAACCTATAGGTTCTAAGGAACAGGGCAATTGCTGTGCTAATCTCTCAGATATGCTCCCAGAAGAAGGGCCAGCTCATCCCTTCACCTGTGAATACTCTTGCTTATTTTGAACTAAGAATATCTTTTAAAGGAATCTACTGAACAACTAGATCTGCTACCTATTCATTGTCTATTTTCTTTCAAACCAAGTAGCAACATCAGGCAGAAATGTGAAATAATCTTTTAGTGGATGTCACCAGAGAAAGCATCCTACTAATGAGTGTCTGTTGAGGGCTCCCTAACACACATCCTACAGACTCAGATTCTTGCATCCCAATATGAATATCCCAATAGGAAAAGCTATTTGGAAGCACTGTATCAGGAGCAGGGATGCTGGAATCTGGTGGTTACTCCACAGGCAACACTAAGTAATTCACCTCCAGATCCCATAGTTACACATCTGTCAAATGGAGAGCTGGCTAAGGACTTACCCTCTAGGTGGACCATTTGCTAAATGTCCACTGAAATAAAGTCCCCAGTTCCCCACTGAGAATAAGCATTAAGGACAAAAGAGCAATTCCTTCTTGCAGAAGTTGAATGGGGAGTGGCCAGGGGTTTGTGAGAAGTGAGAGGCTTGTTTGACATTCAAGTCCCAAAGATGGAGTGTCATCAACACAGATAGATAATCATTGCCTCCAATGCATAGGGTACAAACCCACCAGCACCAAAGGCCATGAGAAGATCCCCCTGAGAAGAGGAGCTCCTTGTCCCAGATTATGTAAGATTTTTACCTCTGCAAATGCTTCTGTTATACCAGTTCATGTGTTTTCAGACCCTATGAGTGCACAAAATACACACCACTGCTACTGCTCCAAGCCAGCAGTAATAAACTCATATTTCTGCAGCTGTCAAAAGTGGCATCAGGCATGAGGTTCAAGCCTCTGCCATGACAGTCTGTACCATAGGAAAGCCCAAACCAGGCCCAGTGGAAACAGTATGGCCTGAACTTCCTTGAATACTGAAGCAAGGCATACATGTACTTGAAATGCTAGAAGGAGTCTATGCTACTTCTAGCCTTGGTTTGAGCAGTGTGCTGTAGCTCTCTCTGCTTTGATTCTCTGTTCAAATGAGAAGAGCAAAACATACCACACCTTTCCCAAGGTGGGATATTTGTTTTTAGCATAAATTTCTTTCAAAGAATTAAACATTTTCAACAAAGGGTAGCTGTATTAACTTCTGAAGGGGTACATGTTGGTGTCTTCTATCTACAATATATCACTTACAAACTAAATTCGTGGCACTAAGGCCATGCTCATTGCCAGTGTCCACCTCTGCATCCTGGTTATAACACAGCACAAATAAGATCAACTCTGTAGCCCAAGTTCTGTGCAGTTTTCCCAAATTCTGACACCCTCCCTCAACCACCCAGCCATATCAACACCATTGCCACACTCATTCTCCAGCCTACTTGCCTGGACTCCAGCTCCTCCATCAGAAGTGGGGGCAGGGCCAGGCTGAAGTTAGGGAGCAGTAGGCACATGGAAATGGCAGTGGAGAGAACCAGAGCAATTTGCCCCTCCTCCTCCTCCCCCCACCCACCAAACACAAGCAGAGGCAGGAGGTGCTGTCTAGCATGCACATGGCAGGGTCTTGGGCATATCAGGGTGCAGGGGACTTGGAGAAGCCACAAAGACAGATGTTACATCTAGGCTTGGGCTGAGGATGTGGAGCATTTTCAGCACTATTCCTTTAACTAACAGCACACACAATTACAAAGCATAAATGATCAAGTATTTGCTTCTAAACAAGCAGGAGTGGAAGCAGGTAGAGCAGAACTCTTAAAATAGAAATCCTGGGCTGCACTAACACTTGTTTTCCATGAGGTAGGCCAGAAATTGGTAAACTGTGATCTGGCCTACTTACTGTTGTTACTGAGCCACAATATCCAGATCAATTCTGGAGCCAAACAGGCTCAACCCACAGCCATGCAGGCACCAGCTATATCCCAGTACTGATTCAAGGTGTGAATACAATCTCTTTCACATCCTTGAACTTCTAGTCTATCTACAAGCAGAAAGCTAATGCAGCCAGGCAAGATTTCATGCTGGGCTGGGAATGTATACACTACAGTAATTTGCTATTTACATATGGAGGCCTAATATAGAAATACTTAGGAGTTGGCTAAACATTACTCTTGCCCCTATATCTTTAAGACTAAGGCAGGCCCTTTAAGACCTGCTCTGAAGAAATTTAGGGGAAGCTGGAATAAGTCTGAGGTCTTTCACCAAATAATAACATAGTGAAAGAGAGCTAAGACTGGTTCCAATGAAACAGCAGAACAATACTGGCTGCGAGAATGTAAAAAAATGTAACAAGTGATATCAAGAACACACCTATCTGCAAGAACTTGGGGCTCTGCTTTAGGCTTGTATCCAGGGGAAGCACAGGAGGGTTTAGATGCTCAGGGAAAGAGAAACTGTTCCCATCTGAAATGCTGAAGTTGTCTGACTGGAAATTCTGGGGACCTGGTAGTTTGATGAAGAAAGACAGAAGTCTTGCAGTTTGCTAGTATCAGAATATGACAGAACAAGTAAAGGCTAACTTCATGCTGGGAAATGAAATTGGTTCCCTCATGCAGAGAAGTCAGGCATGCTGCAGTTGGTTTATTTAATATGTGTGAAAACCACTAAAATGATCTGCCTGTCATTAACTCATCTATATTATCTTACATAATTGTCTTTACCCAAGGATGCAGGTACTAATAAAAAGCATTTGGATCAACTCCTACAAAGAAATCAGAAGAAAGTATGCAGAGATTCTTCTAATCAAAATGAGAGCCTAATGAGATATATAACAATAACCTGCTGTGTTCCTGGGCAGATAAAGCAAGGTACAGACTGAAGGAAGAAGGTAAGACCGACTGATGGTAGAGGGGGGTAGAGGAATATGTTCAAGAAGCCATCTAATGACCTTGAGAACCTGTTTTTGATCTAAAGACATCAGAAGTCTATCACTAGAAATCAAAGTCATTGTGCCCATTGATAATATATGGCAAGCTTTCATCATTTCACTGCTTGAACTGAGAGTCAAGGAAGGAAATATCAGCTATATTTAACAGGTTCTGAATGAATGAAAGGCTCAGGCTGCCTAGTTTCTGAAGCTGGAACATAGAGAGACTCATAAAACAAATCCCAAACACCATATGGTTCTATTCCTCTAAACTCACTTTCTTTTAGGAAGAGAAGTCATTAAAGACGTGCAGAGCAGAAATGTCCCATTAAAACAAATGCTTGAGTAATGCCAAAACCTCCTTCTTCAAGTTTTGCCTTGACTGTGGTAGACTTGTGATATAGTTATAGGTCTTATTGCTTTGTAGATTGGATGTTTCCTTCAACCACCACAACACTGTAGTGTGTAGATCAGACATTTACAAATAGTCTCTGGTATTTAGCACTGTCTTCAAATTCAAATGCCTTTCTGATAATACAACATCATGAATATTCATCAAACCTACTCTCAGATAAATAATAATTACTTGGCAATTGATATGCTGAAGGAAAAAAGAAGTAGGTTACAGAATGGATCTGTATTCAGTGGAAAACTAAAAAATGATGTGTTTCAGAATGGACCTCATGCTGGAGTGCTCAGGCTTTGTGCTCCTGTCATCCATCACTTTAGGGAGGAGGGGTTACCCAGACTGCCATCCTGTCATTAGCCCTAGAAGATGAATTCTTTTATTTGATGGAGAGGAATGATTTTTTTCTCCCTAAATGAGAAGCCACTAATGACATTCTTTAATCTCAGTGTTCTGGAAACACCTGCAAGTCTTCCTAGTTACAAGATACCCCTTACTTTAATAGAACTTTTCTTTGAAGAGGCTCCATTGCTTTGGGAACAAGTATCCCAATGATTCAATTCTCCTGAAACATAGTGCCAAAGTCATCCATGAGACCAATGCATGAGTCAGAAGCTCCAAGCCCTTTGTGTTTCAAGAATGTTGTTTTAAGGCCAAGTCATAACAGATCTTGCTAGATGCTTCCTCAAGCTGTACTGAGGAAAGGACTGCTCTGCATGGAAGAATAATCAAATTAAGTCAGGAGGCAGAAGAAGCAGCACAAAATACAATGAGGACTAAGTTCTCCCTGGAGAAGTCTGCTCCCTTCATTGTAGTATGCAGAAAACATAAGCTGCCAGTCGGCCCAAGTAGCTTTGGAATGCCACAGCACACAGGTGCTTTTCTAGATCTCTCACCAACTCTCCTGGGCCTTAACCATCCCATCCTCTTACTTATCTTCATCTACCCACGTAGGCCCTGACCCTGTCTAACTTAGGTCTCAAGATTCAGCCTTTAAATGGGATGCATGAATGTGTCTTCCCTGTTCTCTGACATTCTGTGATAAAGTTCAGACTCTTAAAAGTCCAAGGAAGATGTGGACTTCAGTGCCACCCACAGAAAGCAAATTGGGAGAATTCCTGCTGAAAGCATCAAGGGCAATCAGCTCACTCTTCTCTTGCCAAGTGGCAGTACACAACAACCCTTCAGAATACACTGTCTCAATATTCCAAGAAAAAAGCCAATTCTTCTCATTATGGCTCAAGAAATCTACCTAAGTTTCCATAATTTCAGACTGATTATAATGAATTTCAAGGTATTATTGCATCAAGTACTGCTTGAAATAAATAGGGCACTGATGGAGGCTTAGAACCTGCTATGGACAAGGAGGTTGGGATGCCAAGGTAGTAATCTTCACAAAGATGCTTGGCACAAATTTATACAAGCATGCAATAACGTTACACCTGTCTTAACTCTAAAGCATCCCTTTCCACCCAACCCCCAAATGTCAGGAAAATAAGATAGGGAAGGAAGGGCAAAATTATGTGCTTCTTTTTCCTTGCAAAGTCATTATCCAACAACATCCAGCCAAGCCAGCCAAGCCCAAATAAGAGCAGGGAACAACATGGGAAACCAAAATCTGTCTTTCCATTTCATCAGCAACCCCCATCTCTCCCCTCCCTCCTCTAATTCTGCAACTCCCAGACAAGCAATGATCCAACAGCATGAGCAATTTCTTGTGGCTCCCTAGGTTTTAAACCTGCCCTAAGCCCCTCACTAGGGAAGGCGCATTAAGCCCATGAGAGTGGAGCCTGTGAAGTAGGGAGGAGGCTGAGGAGAACCTGGGCCACAGCCACTTGCGTCTGCTGTTGCTGCTGCTGGAGGAGCTGCTGGAGGAGCTGCATCTGATGGTGGGTGGACAGCGGTGTCCCAGTACTCAAGCTTGGTGGCTTTGAGGAAGAAGAGGGAAGCAGCATGCGGGGTGAAGCTGTCAGCATGGGCTTCTGAGGGTAGGGTGAGACCTGAGGAGAAGAGAAAATAGCACATGACACATGGGCAGGAGGAGACTTAACTTTCTTGATAAGAACTATAATTTTTACACAGGCAGAATGAAATGGCCACTTACAACTCATAAGCTGAAGATACCTGCATGGAATGTGAATAGGGCTCCAGGGAAGAAATGATTTCATAGCCCAAGCTAGCACCACACAGTTACAAAACCATATATGAACTGATCTAATGGGATGGGAGATAAGCAGTTGACACTGTTTCATGTCTTAGTCAACATTTCCAATTATACCATTGTTAAGATACTTGAGATATAGACTTGAAATATAGACTTAGAAGAACACATATCTATAAAACACAGCTACCTACTGCCATGAGAAAAGGAGGAAATCAGCTGTAACCTTTCCTTTGTTCTGTCCTTAAGGCTTCTTCTTCAAGGGACCTGAGGTGTTTCCATTGAATTGGGTACTGAGGGCTAGAAGCCTCCAGCCCTCTACTGCTTCCTCTCATAGGGAGACCCATCTGGGAAAAATGTATGGACATTACAACAATCAGGAGAGATTCTAGCTCCCATTCAGGAGAGATTCTATCTCCCATTCCTGTTGGTGATTTTCACTCAATTGGATCCTATGACTCTGATTATAGTATGTTAGGGAGGCATGTGTTTTTTTCTTTTCTTTTTTCTTTTTTTGTAGGTCATGGGGCTTGAACTCTGGGCCTGGGCACTGTCCTTCAGTTCTTTAGCTCAAGGCTAGTGCTCTACTACTTGAGCCACAATGCCACTTCCAGTTTTCTGAGTGGTTCATTGGAGATAAGAATCTCAAGGGCTTTCCGGCCCAGGCTGGCTTTGAACTGTAATCTTCAGATCTCAGCCTCCTGAATAGGTAGGATCACAGGCATGAGCCACCAGCACTCGGTGACATGTGTTTTTTCTAGCAGCTCTGTTGTTGATCCTCATTCAGTCACAAAGCAAGAAAGTACCCAGGGACAGAGGATAATAGCTTCTTATAGAGGGCTATCTGGGCACCAAAGAACACATGACCTCTGCTCACCAAGTGACTTTTCTTTGATGAATTGGCCTAAGATACAGTAAGCTAGCTTCAAATTGCATTTTTCCAGGTCTCTGCCTCCTGAGTAGGTAGGATTACGGGTGTGAGCCACTGGTGCCTAGCTGGTCTCTCAGTTTCTCACATGCAGTAAACCAGCTTCCAGACTCAAAAGCATTTTTGTTCAGGAGTGGTACAGGTACACAGAGCAGACAGAAGGGACTCAAACAGACTTGGATCCAGTAGCAAAGCCACAAGAGTTATGTGTACTATGTGGGTGTGCCAGGATATGCCTTGCATAAACACTGTGCAAGGAGAAGATGGAAATGACAAATTGGTGGGATCTTGTGAGGGTGACATATGTCAGAAATGAGTTCCACATTACCTTGACACATTAGTGTCACATTAGGTGTATCTAGTGTTGGACTACATGGGATGAATCTGCAGAAGTCAGACCATACTCTGAGAAGCAATCAGATATACTACAGTTTTGCCTCCATACCATGGAGTACCTCATTCACTCAACTTATGTGCTATCAGGAGTTAGGAGGCAATTCTGATAGCCCTAAACTGAAGCTCTGACATAAGTGTCATGTGCACATCACCTGGACAGGCTACCTCCTGCCTACCTTGGACTCTTTGTGGGAGCTTCCTTCTTTCTCCACAGCATCCAGGTCAGTCACACCTCGGCTGAATTCCAGGACATCATCCCCTGGGAGTGGGACTTCTACCGCATCAATATCAGTCTCCTCTGTGGTGGAGGCCCTCTCGGCCCTCTCGGCTCCAGTTAGCTGGCGTCCTGCAGGGACAGTAGGGACAGAAATGCTAACATCAGGGACAATGTTTCCTCCTTATCTGCCACTTTAGCACTCTTTTAGGCTGAGTCTAGGGATGCCACAGGCTTCACATTTTCACATATCTTTTCACTAAAGTACCTTTCCAATCCTGTAAGATACTTCCATCTTAATGTTTTTTTCTGAGTCCACAGTTAAAAGAAACATTAAGCCTGAATGTGATATGCTTTCTGTATGGTTGCTGTTGTAGTTGTCATTTCTTTCTTTTCTTTTTAAACTGTACTAGGTTTTGAATCCAAGGCCTCATTCAACTTGCATATTAGGCTGGTGCTTTACCACTTGAGCTATATCTCCCACCTGGCTTTTTGCTGGTAGAGTCTAGGGTACTATTTTTTTTTGCATAGGCTGGCTTCTATCTGCCATCTTCTGGATCTCAGTCTTGTAAGTAGCTAGGATTATAGGTATAAGCAACCAACATCCAACTTCAGCTATATATTTTTAATCAACAGGTATACATGGATCTTAGAAAAAAAGATGATAGTCATCTTCACTTCATCCCAGGTTGGAGCTGGAATGTGGCCAAGGTAAAGAACCCTGAATGGTAGTCCAGTGATGCAGATATGTGACCCAGATAGGCCCCTTAATGAGTTATTGGATAAGAGACATATTGCCTTGCTCCAGGGCCCAGCTTTATCTATGCAGAACTCAATTACATGGATTGACAGGGTTCCAAGATTGGGCAGTACTCGGGGAGATCCAAGCCCTATCCTAACACAGTATCATCTCCCAGCCTCAAAGCTGACTCTGATCTCTTAGCAGAAGCCAATTCAGAAGAAGAGGAGATAAAGGTGGCTTTTTCCCATGCTTTCCTTAGCTTCTTTCTACTTTTCACTTTTTTCCCTTCTCCTGAGGGCAGTGTCTTTGTTCATATACATCATATTGTTCGATGCCACTATATTTTAAGTCCTACTATTTCTTATTTTTCTTTATTCCTTTTTATTATATATTTTTAGATTCTCTAACAAATGTCTGTAAATTCCCGGGCTTTTCATGGGAAATATTTTCTTGCTCTGTATTTGGAATTAAGTTCATCAAGTATTGTCTTCAAATAGAATTTCTTAATTTTTTTCAGAAACTAAGCACCAGCTGAAAAATGAGTCAGCATGGTATAAAAAAAGAAGGACAGAGAGTGGACACCTAGTGTTGAAGTCAACCTAGGCAACTAGACTCTAGTCATTTCAACATCTGCCTTGTAGAACAAATGATTCTAGTTCTTCTTATGCAAGCCCATTGTGGTCATCTGGGGAAACAAGCCTGATATTTAGAAAGTCAATAATATGCTTCACTTTCCTCATGGCTGCTGGGGAGCTAGAGATTGAGCCCTGTTGAGGAGTGCAAAAACATTTAACAGAAAGATGTTCCTGACCATGGCCTGAAGGGAGTAGCTCTTCTCCTTTGTGAGCCAGTGGGTAGACCAGTGGGCAGAGAGCACAGAAGCACTTTGTTTTTCTACCATACTCCTGCACCTAGAAATGACCTTGATGATTGAGGACTAGAGGGTGCTAGTCTAAGAGATAAAGAACATTGATGAATGAGTAACTCATGGCTGTCATTCAGTAGACGGATATTGCTGTGAACTGAGAATCTAGTCCATTGTGCCTGTCTAGAAATAATCAGGATGAAATGGGCATTTGTTCTGAAGAGGAGAGATTTTCATTGCAGTCAGGAGGAGCTGGGCTCCTGCAGCACTGTGTCTCAGAGTACTTAACACATGGCATTAAACATGTCTGTCATCCATTTTTCTTTCAATGCTTAAGGTCAGGGATGTATCCCGTTGTTCTGTTTCCTAAGGAGCAGTTTAATAAATAACAAAGAAAATAGTGTTGTGACAGCATAATACAAGGGAATAGGTTATGAGAGGAGGCTGTGTCCCACTCAAGTGGCTTTTGATACAGAAGGTTTGGACAGTCCATGCCAGATGCTGTAGTAGGATCAGAAAACCTCTTAGATCCCAGCTCTGCTTCTGAGGGAATATTAAAAAGTCAAACTTCTCATCATTCTCTCTGTACTAGCAGAATTTCCCAGCTAAAGAAAAGTAATTAAATTGCAAACCATGGCACTGCTTTCTGAAAGATTCTAGCAGTGAGGGCTTTGATGGTCACACTTGGAGTCTTGTTATCTTAAAGGGTATAAGACAGTAGAGTAAGAGATCAGCAGAACTGGGAAAGGGCAAGCTGAAATAGATGCTAGACGGAGGGACATAACTATCATGCTACTGGTTAGCATATTAGATGAGAAGAGACCTGGAGGAGGGAGAAGACCAAACTTGGGGTGAACTTGGGGTGGGTATGGAGGCTGTGTTACTTTTTGAATTGTTTAAAATGATTTAAACTATTTCAATAGAATGCTTAGTTTATTAATTTGCTCACTAAGCATTTATTAGGTACCTTATATATGACACTTGCTGGACTCTGAGCATAAAGATGAACAAGCAAGATCAGTACTTAGTGCTTTTTCCAGCTGGACATTGAAAACAGACCTAAGCCCTAGCCTGAGGTTAAAAGTAGCACCTATGGTGGAGCTAGACATGACTTTAAGGCAGGGATTAAAGGAGTCTATGCAGAGAAAAAAATGGATCAGATGGAAAGGTACAAGCTCAGGCAGATAGGAAGGCAGGGAGAGCCATGGAGGGCATTTTAGGCAGAGGGCAAAGCCAAGAAACATGGGAAGCCACAGCAAGTAAGGAGAACTTCAAACACTTCCACAGGGAAGAACTTGATTAGAGTCAGGATTTTATACTGAAAGACTGAAGCAGGCGGACTGAAAGATTCCCATTCTTTACCATTTCACCCTAAAATGCTATGGAGGGCAGATCCAGAAGAAACAGGACAAACAGTATAGTAGGTAAGGAATACAAGAGCTTAAGCTTGGGGAAAAGGGATGAAATAGAGGAGAGGGGGAAGATTTGAAAGAACCACATGGCTTGCTGGTCAGTTTTCTATGATATGGAGTCGAGTATTAGAGGATGATCTCTTAAATTTTAGATACAAATGACTAGGTGATATCTCATAGGGACAATTAAGGGTGTGGGTAAGGGGATGAGTTTTAAGCCTATTGGAAGTGTAGGAACTTGTGCAACAGCTAAATGGATATATCCACTGGGATACATGTTGTGGAGTTGCATATTTGTGTTCCCCAGATTCACATGTGGACACCCTAAATCACCATTGTGAAGGTATGTGGAGAAAGGGCCTTTGGAAGGTAATTGGGTAGAAGCCATCTAATATCCATCTGATGTAAGGATCAGTGTCCTTATAATGAGAAAGACAAGAGATCTCTTGCTCTAGCAGCGAGGGCTTTGATAGTCACACCTGAGTCTTGTTGACTTGTGGGGACATAGTGTGAAGGCAGCTGTCTGCAGGACAAGAAAAGTTCTCACCCAGAACCAAGTTGGCCAGTACACTCTGCATCTAAACTTCTCAGCTTTTGAACTATGAGAAATAAAAATCTGGTTAAGCCAAACAGTGTACAGTACTTTATTGTACATTGGCAGCTCAAGCAGACAGACTGCATATTAATGAAAAGTTTAGAAAAGGTCTACCCTGGAGACAGACATTTACTGAAGCCATGAGAAGTTAGAAAAGAACACAGGGACCAAGTCTCCTTTCTCAGAATGAGAAATGTAACACAAGGGGAGGGTAGAAGAGAAACCTTAAAAGACACTGAAGAGCAGTTAGCAGAAAAAAGAGGAAAAGAGTATGGTGGTAGGGTATTCTAGAAACCACAAGAGATGAACCCTACAGGGAAAGGCTGGCTTTCCAGTGATTTCCACTGAGAGTTCCAGAAAGAACTGGCAAAGCAGCTGACACCCTGTCACTGGAGGCTGAAGAGCTTTTGGAAACGGTGGAAAGAAATGACAAGGTATAAAGTGAGTACAGATAAGTTTGCCAGAAGCTGGGCCATAGTCTTGATATTAATAGGCTATCTCTCCACCTGGAAATTGTTTACTTTGATGTGCAGAAGCCTTTTGATTTGATGCAATCCCATATGTCAATTCTTGCTATTATTTCCTGAGGTACAGGAATACTATTCGGAAGGGGTTGCCTACACCTATCTTTTCAAATGTTTTCCTTGTGTTTTCTTTTAGTAGTTTCAAATTTCTAAATCTTACGTTAAGAACTTTGATCCATTTTTAATTGTTTTGTACAGGCTGAGAGACTGCAATCCAGAGGTTCAATCTTCTACATAGGTATATCCAGTTTTCCCAGCACCATTTGTTATAGAAACTAATTGTTCTCCAATGTATGTTTTTGGCACTCAGGCTACAGCTATGTGGGTTCATTTCTGAATATGTTTTTCTACTGAAATAAAGATACCTGGAATGTGGCCTAGTGGTAGAGTGCTTGCATGAAGCCCTGGGTTCAATTCCTTAGAACCATATACACAGAAAAAGCTGGAAGTGGTGCTGTGGCTAAAGTGGCAGAGTGCTAGCCTTGAGCAAAAACTGCTCAGGGTCAGTGCCCAGGCCCAGAGTTCAAGCCCCAGGACTGGTACACACACACAAAAGACACCAGATCTACGTAACATACCTTGTCCTCATAGCCATCCTGGTGTCTTGCTGGCTGGAAGGGGCTTTTCACCCAGCTCTAAAAAGCCTAGAAGTGAGATAGGCCATTCTTTGAATTACAGATGTTATGTTGTGTAGCCCCAGGAAAGCTTTGCTACAGAAGATGCTCACTCTTGAGTGCTTTTGCTGAACCTGAGTCTCAACCCTAAATGTGATTTTTGCTTTAAAAGCTTTCTGCAAGTTACATTCTGGGCTACAGGTCTTTGAGACAAGAGTCTACCTGCAGTTGCTGGCTTTCTAACAAAGACTCCCAATTCAGCCTCTCAAGATGTGGCTTCTCTGTATCTCACCAAATGAATCTCTGTATAACATTATACCATTGGCCTATCTATCTTGTTTGTACCAGGATGTTTCTGTTATTATGGCTCTATAGTATAC